CCTCCAGGCAGGTGGGCAGATCCATCTTTTTTAGGGATAACTGAACTGACAAGGCTGAGTGAAGAGGGCTGTGTGTGCACTCAGTGCTGTTTACCCCAGCACTTTTATCCTGTATTTTGAAATAATCAGCATTACTCTACAACTCCCTCCCTGCCTCAGCAGGGAGGCCCCTGGGAATCATTGTTCAATTACTTTTGGCAAGGAGATTCCTCTCTGGGAGTCTCTTAATGGGAAAACAAGAGCATCAGGCCTTGCAGTAATTCCTGCCCCCACTCTGATGAGCAGTGCCTTGTCAGCACAAACCCACCACACTCAGAGCAGGGTTTGGTGTGGGAATGAAGCAAAGCCCCTTACGTGGTGTCCTCCCAGCGCTGCAGACACTGGCTGTGGAAGCTGTGGTTGCACAGCGTGGTCAGGATCCCGTTCACGGACTCGTCCATCCTCTCCAGGCACACAGTGCACTTGGGCAGCTCTGTGAGGTCCATCACGGGCAGGCTGGCCCCCTGCAAGGCAACAACAGACTGCTCAGCACCTGCCAAGCACCAGCAACTAAGCCCAGCTTCTCTCTTGCTGGCACCAGGGATCAGAAACACGACACACAGTGGGTGAAAATTTATTTGACATAAAGTGATCCCCAACATTCAACAGCCCACAGCCGGGTTCCTCTGCACAGCACGGGCTCAGTGAAGGTGCTGCATGTGCCACCAGCCCCACTGTGCTCTGGGGGTTCACTAAATGAAAACACAAGGCAGGTTTAGGTCAGAGACAAGGCATAAAACCCACAGAGTCACCACAAAAACTGTCCCAAAGATACTGGAACGGGAAGCAGGGTTTGGGTTGATGCAGTTGAGCTGTTCTTGCAGTGTTCTGCCCAGTCCAAATCACCCTCTTAAAATCATCTGAAGTGCAGGGAAAAAAACAGACCAAACTTACATCTTCTGATTTGAAGACTTCAGCCCTTTCCACGTACACCAGCTGGCAAACATCCTCCTCGATGGAGTTGAACTGGCGGCCGTTGCAGGCCATGTAGAAGCTGTCGGCGTCAGCCTGGGCACAGAGCAGGGAAACGGGTTAAAAAGGGAAAACTCACAGCTCACACAACCCAGGAAGAGGAGGAGGAACCTCCTGTATCCTCCTTTCTCCCCTCCCCCAGCCCTGTAACACCAGGGGAGGGATTCAGCTCCAGGCACTGCATTTTGGCATCATCACTGGAAGACACAAAATGAAGTCCAGGGCAGTGACAGCTATGCTGATATTGGATCATTCAGCAGGAATGAGGGATTTCCCTTCAGCATCTGTTTTGCCCCTTGTCAGCAATTTCAGGGCATTTGTAAAGCAGATTTGGTCTCTGCAAAAATTTAAGAGGGACATGTTGCAGCACAGTGATGACAGGGAAAGGAGCAACAGTTTAACTGTGGGAAAGAGTCCATTTCACCACCCACAATCCAGGCAAAAGAGGCAGAACCAAACCAAACCCTGTCAAATCCATCATCCCTTTTCACTCAGTAACTCCCCAAACCCTTTCTCAACACAAGATTGGAGGCAATGAGCTGAATGCCACATTCCCAAACTCCTGGTCATTCCAGCCAGCAGCATCAATGCCCTGGAGATTTGTTTTGTCACCTGCAGCTAAAGCCATTAGGGGTCAACAGAGCTCCAAGGATTTTCCTCAGAAACAGGATTTTAGGGCGAATTGAGCACAAGTTTAGGGATTTACAGCATTAGATATTTGCCTGTGTAATTTGGTAGAGCAAGAGACAAAAATAAACTTTGTAACTACTTCAATTAGCACAAAACTCACACAAATATTCCATGTGCACAAAGGGCATGGGAAGCATGTCAGGAAGCATCCACAGATGGGGGAAACCTCTCCCTGAACCCCAAAATATGGAATTAGCATTTGGGAGAAGAGAATGTACAAGTGGAAGGATCCACAAAGGAACTGGAGGGGGGAATTTAAAGCCAGGATTCAGTTCAGGAGACCTGTAAGCAGCAAACAGTGTTACCTGGGTATCAAAGCACCCCTGGGCCTCTCAGTTTGGGAGTGACTGTCCTCTCCACACCGGCAGTAGCTGGAAGACCACCCAGCTCCTCAGAAAAGCAGGAAAGGTCTTTCCTAAAACCCAGGGAGCCCCAGTGGCTGGGTCCTTTCTGTTCAGCACAGCACAACACACCACTCTGAGTAAGTTGTGAGATAGCAGAGAACTCTGTCTGGACTATTTTTTATAAAATATCCTGCCAAGACAAAGCAAGAACTAAACCAAGAAAAATCACACCTAGAACAGGGTACTCTCCTCCAGGTGTGGGACTGACTTTAGGAGCCCCAGGAATTCTCAGGGAAGGGGGACAGGGCTGTTTCCCCATGGGTGAGTGCAATCCTGGCTGACATCTGGCCAGTGAAGCCACACAACCCCCCTGAACAGCGACTGCAGTGACAGCAGAGCAACCTCCCCAGGCAAGGGGCTCCCAGCTCTTACCTGTGAGCTGAACTTGATCAGCACCATGTACTGGTTTGGGGTGGAGTCTCTGATGATTTTCATGTGCTCAATCACCTCGTAGAAAGAGGCCACAAACTTCATGAGGTCGTGGCTGGTCATGGTGGCCGGGACAGTGAGGATGCAGAGCATGGCACTGCGCTGCACATCCTCCTTCAGGGAGGTCATCTTGCTGGGGACACAACAGGGACACCTCAGGGGGGGCAGGGCACAGCTGGACACACAGCTGGACACACCATTCCAACTGCTGCAGTCACTACAGGAGCTGTTATCAACCTTAACTCTCTTTTGTAAATGTTGAGAGGGGTTGTGGTGAACACCCAGTGCCCCCACGTGAAACAGGCACAGCCAAGGATTAAACTGGGCAGCTCCAACAGCAATGGGATTGCCAGGAATGATTGGACATCTGTTTCTCTATAAAAGCAGCTGAAGTTGCCCAGCCCCAGATGCTCAGCACTGTTCCTAGAACAAGTGAGCAATGTTTGTTACTATTTCCAGTGCCCATTTGGGGGCTTCTGGTGGCTTTCGGGAAGACCTGTAATGGGAGTTCTTACACAATTTCAGGGGAATGGTGTGGAATTGTAACCCCTGAAGCACAGGATGAAACCTCCTGCTCCTCAGGCAGTTCCTCAGGCCTGTCACCAAGGCCCCAGAGATCATGATTAAATTGTGGGATCCCTCAGGAAGCTGCTTTCAAATGTCATTTTTTTTGGAATCTGTGCTTGTCTTATGCTCTTACAGTCCCCAGCACAGGTTCCCAACACCTCTAATGTCACCTACAGCTCTGACAGGTCCACCAAGCTCCACCATTAACCCCAGTCACCCTGTGCCCTCCCAGGAGGAGTCACCCTTCCTGTTTATCCCTGTCGGGAGCCACAGCCTCGGGCTGACAGACTCACCCTTCCCAGGAATCCATCCTTACTTTGTTTTGTACAGGTGCATAATTCCATGGACGATTTCCACCGAAGGGTTCCCGCTGAAGAAGGAGATCTGGTCAGGGAGCTGCTTGGAGGGGGAGTCTGGAGCAGCCTCACGCTCCTTGCTCTGATCCTCCTGTTTGGTTTTGTCCTCAGCAGATGCAGCCTCTGAGGATTTCCTTCCTTCCACGGCAGCTTTTGCTTCATCTTTCACAAACCAAGAGTTTCCCGGTTACTGAGGTGCTGCTGTGCCCTGAGCACAGTCTGTGTTCACACAAATCACAGCCCTGGGGAGCAGCAGGATGAGATTCCCCTCATCCCTGCTGCCCCCCAGGACATTGCAGAGCTACAGACACCCTGTGGGAGCCCCAGAACTGAGCTGGAGGAGGTTTGTCCCATGCCCAGTGACATTCCAACAGACACCAGTATGAGCACAAAGCAACTGGGGCAGGTTTGCTGAGCAGGGGAGGAGTGGGAGCTCCTGCTGAGCACCTTGGATGTGTGTCAGACTTGGTGTTTCCATCCTTAAATCCCTCCCTGCCAGGGAAATTAAACATTTACAGAGCAAATGGTCTCATTGCTATGGACCGGTGATGCTGGGGAGTGAAACACAGGCCAGCTGTGGCACAGCCTGAAAGAAATTAAACCTCTGTGGAGTGAATCAGGGAATATCCTGAGCTGGAGGGGACCCACGGGGACCATCCAGTCCAACTTCTGGTTCTGCCCAGGACACCCCAACAATCCCACCCTGTCCCTGAGAGTGTTGTTCAAACACTCCTGGAGCTCTGGCAGCCTTGGGGCAGTGACCATTCCCTGGGGAGCCTGTTCAGTGCCCAACCACCCGCTGGGGGAAGAACCTTTTCCTGAGATCCAACCTAAACCTCCCCTGACACAGCTCCAGCCCTTCTCTGGGTCCTGTTCCTGCTCACACCGAGCAGAGATCGGAGCTGCCCCTCCTGAGGAAGTTGTGGATCGGGATGAGCTCAGTGGGAAGTGTTTGCCTAGAACAACCAGCTCTGCCCCCGCACCCAACGCACATTCCTGAACTCCTCTGCTTGTTTTCCAAACTGCCGGGCCGGCTCCAGACCCGCAAACCCCGCAGCCCTCTCAACATCCCCTGGCCGGTGTCAGCGGCGGGGACAGGCCCGGGACAGCACGGGGACAGCCCCAGCCCGCGCCCCTCGGTACCTGCGCGGGGCCGGATGGTCTCGATAATCACGTCGGTCATCTCCCGCCGCCCCAGGTGCTGGTGCAGGATGGCCGCGCGCTCCCCGGGGCCCTTCCCCTGCAGGCAGGCGGGCACGGCGGCGGGGGCCGCGCCGGTGCTCTCCGCTGCCATGTCCGGACCTGCGGGGACAAACCAGGCATTGGGCCGGGCCGGCGGCGCGAAGCCCGGTAGCGGCGGCGCCCCGGGGGCCGCGGGCACGCACCGGCCGCGCTGTAGGCGAAGGCCTTGGGCAGCGGGGAGGCCCCGGCCAGCTCCAGGCGGATCACCACCAGGGACACGCTCATGGGCCCGGCACCGGCGCCGCCGCTTCCGCCTCCGCCGCGCCGCTCGCCGCGTGACGTCACCGCGCCGTGACGTCACGGCGGCGGGGCCGCGCCGGCACCGGAGGAGCGAGAGCGGGGGCTGAGGGGCCGCGGGGGGTCTCGCGAGAGGCGGGTATGTTCTCGCGAGAAGGGGGAGCCCGAGCGGCGGCGGTGCTGGGACTGGGTACAATTCGGGGAATTCGGGGTGGGAAAGAGCTCCGGGAGCATCGAGGCCGACCTGGGATCCAGCACCATCTTGTCACCAGAGCACTGAGTGCCACGTCCAGGCGTTCCTTGGTCACCTCCAGAGATGGAGACTCCACCACCTCCCTGTGCAGCCCCTTCCAATGCCTGACAACCCTTTCCATGAGGAAATTCTACCTGATGCCCAGCCTGAACCTGCCCTGGCACAGCTTGAGGCCGCTTCCTTTTGTCCTGCCCCCTGTTTTCCTGGGACCCCTACCTGCTCCAATTACTGATTAGCAATTAGTGTGTGTGATTAATGAATACCTCAGTGGCTGCCCAGGGTGGAGTCCCCAAGTCCCCATCCCTGGGAGTGTCCAAAACACGAGTGGAGGTGGCAATTTGCCATATGGATTAGTGGGGCTGGTGGGGTTTGGTCAGAGGTTGGACTTATTTTGGATGTCTCTTCCAACCCTAACGATTCCATGAATAAACATTCACCCCTCTAATTGTCTATTTGTGCCCTATTCTCTCTCCTCTGACCAGGCCAGCTCTGAGTTTCCCTGGACCCCCCTGTGTCTCAGGATGTTCCTGAGGAGCTGTGCCCATGCCCTGCTCCGTGTCAGGATCCAGCAGCTCCCGCGGGGGCTGATCCGGTGCCACGGATCCAGGCGGAGCCATTACAGGGCCGTGATCTTTGAGGAGAGCGGGGTCCTGCTCCCAGACCCCCACAGCACAGCCACAGGTGTGTGCTCCCAGTCCTGAGCTCATGGGATGTCCTCAGTTGGGAGGGACCCCCAAGGATCATCCAGTCCACCCTCTGGCCCTGCCCAGGACATCCCAACAATCCCACCCTGTCCCTCAGAGCGTTGTCCAAACGCTCCTTGAGCTCTGGCAGCCTCGGGGCTGTGACCATTCCCCGGGGAGCCTGTTCAGTGCCCAGTCACCCTCTGGGGGAAGAACCTTTTCCTGAGATCCAACCTGACCCTCCCCTGGTTCTCATGAGACACCCCAGATGATGAGTGCCATCAAAAGTCATAGAGGTGACAGTACCCACCCTGAACCCACTTGGTAATGAAACTGTCCTGTAGTGCCACCAGCTGATACCACCCAAGGTTGATGCAGTCCTTGAGCACCTTTAGGAACCCTCCAAAGATACCACACCAAAACCAGGGATGAGGTGCTGCAGTTCTTGGAATGCCAAACCCTTCCCTGTGTGCTGGGTCCATTACCCCAGTCCAGCACATCCATCCTCGTGGGCCATGGATCCACCTCAGAGGGTTCCAAGCTGATTTCCCAGTTCTGAAGATGCCATTACATGCTCTTCCCTGGCTTTTTCATTTCTCTCCCTGTAGACTGGGAGGCCCAGAATTGTATTCCAGCTGGCACCATCCAGCAAGCCCTGCTGTCCGGAGGGGAGAACAGTCCCTCCCAGAGGTATTCCAGAGGAGAGCTGACAGCTGTGGAGTTCCTGCAGGAATTAGGACAGCAGTGCTTTGAGATTGTAAGCCAATCCCTCCTCCTCCTCTCCTTGTGCTTCCTGGCTGCATGGAAATGGGATGCTGTGGTGGTTCAGTGAGGAAGGAGGAGCTTGGAAGAGAAATCCTGTGCTGGAAAGGTCTGGATTTTCCATCTAGGAAGCCTTGCTGTCTGAGCAGGGCAGATTTTGACTGCCATCATCACCCTGATACCTGAGCAGGGCAGGCAGATAAATTTCCCTTAATTTCCATCAGCTTCTTTCATAACTTTCTGATTTCAAGACACCTCTTGGATCAGCCCAGGTGAGAAATCAGAGTCAGAAAGCAGCTGGGAGGCTTTGACTGTCAGTTCATACATGGACAGGAGGGATGGAGACCGTAGTCTCCAGGGAGGATTCTCAGATCAGTAGAAGCTCCTCCACCACAGCCCCAGGGACACAGAGCAAGAATCCTCTTGGAATAACATCCTTTTGAAACAGTGTAAACTGCAGGTTCCTCCCCAGTCACTGTTTGCCTTGATCCCATGGCAGGCACAGTCCCAGTGCATTTCCCTTTCCCAAAATCAGCCCTGTATCTCCTCTGCTGCCTCTGTAGAATCAGTAATGTGAGAACACTTGTTTATTTGGGCAAAGCCATGTAGCTGGGATATCCCCTGCCTGCCTCCTGCTGCCAGAGGAAGTAGGACAGCAAGATAAGGTGATCAGGCAACCTACCCACCCAACCGCTTTTATTTTCATCCCTGCTTAAAACCCATTTATGGCTAATTATCATTCCTGGGGTTTCTCTGGTTTCTTAGGCAGATGTCTGTGTTCCAGTGGACTCTTTTCTCTGGGACTTAATCCGGGCTGAGATGATAAAACAGCTCCCCACAATGGCAGAAGCAGCTCGGTGTGTCCGGGCAGAAGGGCTTAAGGCAGCTCTGCTCAGCAACAGCTCATCCCTGGGGAAGGGAGGGAGGTTCCTGGCCCTGGATCGACGGCACTTCGACGTGGTAAGGCTGGATGGATCCTGAATGTGGCTCTGCTGGATCCTAAATGTGGCTCTGCTCCTCAATCTCAGACTGGAATTCTTTCCATGCAGGTACCAAGTGAACAGCACCAGCAGCAGGTGTAGGCAGATAGAGAGCAGTGTAAGAGCCTGGGAAAACCTTTCCTGGAGGGACTGGGCCCTGGAGAGGGGCTGAGTGACTCTGGAAAATCAGAGTGCCCACACAACCACAGTCTCTGTGTAACAGGCACAGGCAGTGATTTCAATGCAGGACTTGGAAGCTGGAACGCCACACAAAAATAAATGTTATTACCCAGTGCCCCTGCCTTCTTTAAACAAAAAAGCTTTGAAAGAGCAAGGACTCTTCAAAGAATTGCAAAACATCCCCTACACTACAAAAAAACCCAGTACCCCAACATGCCAATCTGTGTGAGCTGAGGAGCAGGAAGAGACCCCTCTCCCAGCACAGACCCCTCTCCTAGCAGAGCCCTCCTTCCCAACACACCTCACCTTTGCAGAGATGACACAGAAGATTCTCTATGAACCTCAAGGCTGGTTCCAGTGGCACCATTTGCACACGAGGACTTGGCTCAGCATGACAGAAAATTTGCTTTTTTTTGTGTGCCCCGCTCAAATCTTTGAATTTCAGGAGTTTAAAGCTTGTTTTATAACCTTAAGACAACAAAATATGAGAGGAAGAGTCATATTAATACATTTAAAACCTGTGACTGTTTAAAGTCATCTTATCAACATTATGCCATTATTGGCTCAGCTTTCTGTGTGTTCCTGGTGACACTGGTGCAGTGGGTGATGCTCTGGTGGGATGTCTGTGTGATTGTCACCACAGGGTGTTTCAAAGCACTTCAATAACCTCTCCATGTCACAGCCCATGTGTGTGTGGTACTTTGGAACAGCAGGCAACAGCAATTAGTGGGGAAAAAATAATTGAATGTGGATTTCCATTACTGTTGGCTTTATATCCATCCAGTGGATTAATATTTATTCCTGGAGTGTTATCAAAGCAGGGAGGAAACAGTGCTTGGATTGCTCATGGTCGTGGGAGTTCAGAGACTGACTCAACACTTTTTTGATCCAGATTTGGGTGGATGGTTGTGGTCAACACTTCAGCTGCTGTCAGGGTTGGTTTGGGGTGGTTGGTGGGTGCAGAGCTGGAAGGTGCTCCCATCCAAGGCTTCCTTGGACAGCATTTAGCAATTGGCCTGGGATACCCAGTGAGTCTCCCACATGGGGACATCTCGTTGGATATCTTCCATCCAAGGACTGGCTGATCCTGTTCAGCTGATTTGAGCTGAAGAGCCACAGCCAAGGCAGTTGGCACCCACACAGTCACTGGAATCACGTCCCATCCAGCTGCAGGCCCTCGTTCCGTGTCCTTTATCCCTCACGTTAATTAGACTGTCAGTCTCTTTCCCACCCACCCACCTCCATTTCCATTTCCCACCCTCCCATCTCCATTCCCAACACTGCACAGCTGTCTGTGGTCCCAGCAGGCTCATCCATAATCCATTTGGTGTTGCTGTAGGTGGTTGACTCCCATCAGGAAGGAATTCACTGGCCAGATCCCAGGATTTACAGGCTGTGCCTGGAGCGCTTGGGTGTCCAGCCCCAGGAATCCATTGTCCTCGACAGCAGCAGCCACAACCTGGAGGCAGCAGCCCAGCTTGGCATGAAAACAGTGAAGGTACAAAGCAACTCATCCAGGGCGGGATTTGAGGATGGATTTGGAGCTGTTTGGCTTGAACGGCTCCATATTTTCAGTGGCAGTGCCTGATTCATCTTGCCAAGCCTTTTGTTCCATCCTGTCCTTGTTCCTGCAGGATGTGGCGGGGTTAAAGTAGGGATTACTGGCAGAGTCTGCACTGCTCTGTTTCATTCCCAGCTCCAAACCCTACAGCCAGTGGAACCTTGGAGAAGTCGCTTCTCCTTTCTGTTCCTCAGTTCCCTATGGGAGAAACAGCCCCAACCCTACGGCTGAGCCAACCACATCCACCTGATGGGAGAAAATAAGCCCTATGTAATGAATTCCTGGAAGCTCTGAGGCCTCAGGGATGTGTCAGCTGGGACTGACAGGTTGCCCCCAGGCTTTGGGGACAGTGAGCACGGGGGGGTTTTACTTTGGTGGGGGGACCACTGGGGGAAGGACAAGAGTGGGACTGGTGGGAAGAGTGAACTCTGCTCCCCTGGACTGCACACAGGGAATTCCAGCTCTTATCCCAGGCTCACAGTGCCTATGCCACCATCACAGGTACATGTCCAGGACAGAGACCAAGGCGGGAAGCTCCACGTTGGCAGGGAATGATATGTGAATTCCTGTGTGTCAGTGAATCAGGGAATGACCCATGAATTGCTGTGAGTCAGTGGGTCAGGGAATGACCCATGAATTGCTGTCAGTGGATCAGTACCATTGGACTCACAGATAAATGCATCACAACTGTGCAGGGCTCTTTCTTTCCCGTGAAATTTTATCCTCCACCAGTGTTTCTCTCTCCCTCCTGCTTTCAGGTCGATGATCTGGAGGCAGCACTCAAAGAGCTGGAAACCCATCTGGGATTTCCTTTGCGAGGGTTTGTCCCCTATACTCACTCAGTGGGACCAGGCATGGAAATCCCAAAGGATCAACTGCAAAAGTACCTTGAAAATGTTCTGGGTGCCCACCCAACAGGTATCACAGTGGGTTTGGCCCTTCAGTTGGAAAGCCTGGATATTCTGGAGCCATTGGCTTTTTCCATCATATGACAGATGGATTGAAAAGTAATAATAATGAAAGGCTCTTAATCTTCAAACAGTACAGGCATACAGCTTTCAGTGATCCATAACTGTTTCCCAGAAATGGGAAACAGGATTTTAGGACGTCCTCATTTGGGGGGGGGGGTTGTTGAGCACAAGTTGCCAAAGAGATGCCAGGAATATTCTTGTCCTGTAAGCCATCTATGAGCTACTCCCAGGGGTTTGGGACACAGAGTGGGATCTCAGACCCAGGTGCAGGAAGGGGCTGTAAAACCTGGAGAAGTGCTGAGCCTCTGCTCCCAACTCTCAGGCCCTCTGGAGTTACGGCAGTTTGACCACAGAGAGTCCACCCGGAGCTTTTTGGTCAAGTTTGGGGATCGTTTGCTGGTGCTGAAGAAGGAGAAGGAGCCTCCTGACAGCCCCAGTCCCTCAGGCCCTGCTGTCCCAAGGGAATACAGGTGAGAGGCAGCCATGCCTCACATGGGAGGGGTCCTGCTGCAAGGTGTGCTCAGCAACAGAGCTGCAGGACTTTTAGGGGGGATCATTTGTGATCTCCCCTTGTTTTTCAGAGTGTTGCACAGATCCCAGGACTGTGGGCCATATGAAGGCTTGGGTGCTCTTCTTTCACCCACCCCAGCTGTGTTATTGTAGTGTATTTAACACTGAGCACAGGACTCTGATGTGTGTGTCTGCCTACAAGGGTATGTTCCAGTACTGATTCCCTCCTGCCTCCCTGTGCTGACCCAGCTCTCTGACTCATCTGGCAGGCTCCTGAAGGCTCTCTCTGAAGCTGGTGTTCCTGTTCCCACTGTACTTGCTCTCTGCGAGGACAGCAGGTAATCCTGGCCCTGGGATCCTGTTCCTGATCCCAGCTTTTGCTCTGTGCTTGACAACTGCACCCAAATTCCCCCAAACATGAGGAGAGGAGAGAAGGAACCAGAGCTCACAGAGTGCATTGGTGTAGTTAGCATTTGCCATGTCTGGGGCTGGAGGAGCCTCTAGAGGTTCAAAGGACAGAAACACTTTTATTTGGCTTGGTTTAGATGTGTCCTTTTTTAGCAATTAATCAAAATGCTCCCTCTGAAAAGCAGTTATAAAACAATGTTTTAGGGCTTCCTGCTGACTCAGTGTGCTCAGGTTTGCAATGAAGAGGGGTTTTTTCAAACTGCCAGACCTCAGACAGCCATGACAGCAGCAAATCTGTGACCAGGACACCCCTCATAGCCTGCAGGCAGCTCAGATCTCTGCTGGTTGCAGGAACAGTCTCTGCACTGCAGTTAAATGTGTGTCCAGCATTCCTGGTGTTTGTGCGCAGCCTGACAGCCCAGCTCCACACCCACTGCAGGGAGGCAGGGAAAGGGCTGCTGCTGGAACCTCCAAGCTCAGCTTCCAGGAGCTGGAGGGACCAGGGCTGATCATGGCACAGCCCTGTGCCACTGCACACCAGCCTGGGCGGGGCTCAGGTGAGTGCTCAGGTGCTGCTGAGGCTGCTCTTCCCCTATCCATGTTCAGGGGGCGGGTGAGCTTTGAGAGGTGGCAGTAGCAGGATGAACTCAGTCCCATCAGTTCCCCCTTGCTTTCCCAGCACCCTTGGCTCACCTTTCTACGTGATGGAGCTCTGCCCTGGCCGTGTCCACCACGACGTGTCCCTGCCGGCGCTGCCGCCCCACCAGCGCCAGGCCCGGTACCGCGCCATGAGCCATGTCCTCGCCAGGATCCACGGCGTGGACCTCAGGGCAGCCAGGCTGCAGGACCTTGGGGAGCACGGTGAGAGGAGGCCAGGGATCCTCCATGTCCTCCTGTGTGTCAGCATTTCAAGGGATAGGCTGGATGGGCCAAACTGGGGGCAGTGGGGAAAGGGAAAGGGCAGCCCAGTGTCTGCATCCCCAGGTGTGGTGGGAGGGCTTGGAGAGCTATTTAGATCCTCCAGTCAGTGTTTCCTGTAAGGAGTTCCCAGAGCTTCCTGCCATGAACACAAGCTGCACTATGGAGTAACTTATTTGCAGGAGGAACTTGCTTGCTGCCATTTCTGACCAAACCTCCTCAGCTCCTCCAGTGCCTCAGCAGAGCCAGCTCAGCTTCCTGGATCTGGTGGAGATCAGATTTGTCCAGGATCAGATTAAATCCAGTGCCCAGTTAACAATGTACAAGACCCCTGGAAATTGCAGTTAAACTCAGGGTGCTGGACTGAGTTCTGCTTGGCTGTTGGACTTTTTCTGCATCCCTTTTGAAGCCTCTTTGTGCCAGTTCCTTTTCCCTGTTCCAGGTAATTACATTCAGCAGCAAGTTGAGACCTGGACAAAGCAGTACCGAGCTATGGAAACTCACATTATCCCAGCGATGGAGAGACTCATCCAGTGGCTGCCTCTGCATTTTCCAGAGTCTCAGAAGACAACACTGGTACATGGTGATTTCAGGTACTGCCCTGGAGCACATCCCAGGCAGGAGAGAGGGACAGGGAGTGTAAAGTGACACACAAACAGCTTTAGAGCAGTCCAAAAGCTGGGCTTGGGTCAGGTTCAGCATCCCCCAGGGAATGAGATCGAGAGTTTCTTCACCCAACTGCTGCAAACACTGGTGTAACACTGGAGGATCATCAGCTGTTTCTGCAATACCCAAAAATCAGCCCTGGTGCAGTCATGGAGTGGGGTGGCTGGGACAGCGGGGAGGGGTGCTGAGTGATGCCTCTGTGCTGCCAGCCCCTGGCTGGGTCCTGCCAGGGCTATAGGCCTGCATTGGAGGTGTATGCCAGGTCTGGCCCAAGGCTCCTTCCCTCAAAGCTGCAGGAGCTCTCTGCCCCTGGAAGGGTGGCTGCCCACTGTGGCTGCTCCCTAGGGGAGTCCTGCCCTCTCCTGGGGCTCAGACTGGTGAGGGCTGTGTAGGATCTACAGCACGTGGCAGAGCAGGGTCTGCAGTGGCTATGTGCCTTTAAAGTGACCAGAGCATCCCCTGGACAGTAACCTGTGTGCTTCAGTTTATGATTAGCCTGTCCTGTAACATTTGATGATGATCTGAAGCTCTGACTAACTTGGTTTCACTCTCCAAAGCACAATTCATTTCATCATTAACCAGGGAGTTCACTACTGAGTAACCTCTGTCCTCTGCTTGTAGAAATTTAATGTTCCACTTGTGCAGCCTCCCAGAGGACTTGGCAATTTTTGAAGAGAGTGAAGAACACTGGAAAGCACCTACTGCTGCTGAGCACTGGGATTTTTTTCCCCCCTCTGGAGACTTTTCTGATCTCTTTTTCCCTCTGATACAGGATGGACCACCTGGTCTTTCATCCAGACAGGCCAGAAGTCCTTGCTGTCCTTGGCTGGAAGTTTGCAGCTCTAGGAGATCCCTTCTCTGATTTGGCGAATAGCTGCATGGCCTATTTCCTGCCACCTCACTTTAGTGCTCGGAGAGGTACAGAGAGGGGCAAAGCCAGTGTGACACAGAGAGAGGAACAGAGCTCAGAACAGATTAGCTGTGCCCTGGGAGCCCTGGCACCTGGGCTCACTGCAAGGGGCTCTGGGTTTGCATAGCTTGCCCTCTCGCATCAGCTCTGAAGCTGGGCAACTCTTTTGGGTGGGAAAGCTGCGAACCACACCAGGAACAGTTTGTCCACAATTATACACTTGTTAAAAGGAGTAATTTAGGGTTAAACTGAGAGAAAAATTCTTCCATCATTGAGGAGGAATCTGTCAGTCACGGCTTTCACAGTCTCACCCTCACCAAGAGAACTGCCCTGTGTGCACTTCACCTGCACGGGCTGGTGTCCAACCCCAGAGTTCTGTATGGAGCCAGCCCCAGTGCAGGTCCTGGATGGGTACAGGTGCCTCCATGGAAGCTGCCTGGCTCTGCCACAGGTCTCATGTCATCCCTAGGGAGCTGTGAGCTCCTCTCTGTCAGCTGACTCACTGTCACCCCTTCACACCTTCCAGGCTTGAGGAAGTGTGATTTGAGGCAGCTGGGAGTTCCCACGGCAGAGGAGTATTCCCAGATGTACTGCGGCCACATGGGAGTGGAGCTCCCGGAGAACTGGAATTTCTACATGGCCTTTGCCTTTTTCCGCCTGGCCGTGGCGTTGCAGGGGCGGCACCAGCGCTGTGCGGCAGGTGAGGAGCCCAGCCAGGGCAGCTCTGCCCTGCACAGGGCACAGACACAGCACAGCTCTGGGGAGAGCTCCCTCTCTGAGCCAGGGAGGTCAGACCAGCAGGGTTTGGGCGCTCCGGGCTGGGAAATCCGGAGAACTCTGAAATTCCAAGTGCTACAGCAAAGTGTGGCATGTCTGGCACACTCTTGTGCTTACAGCACAGAGCTCTTGTGGGAAATGAGGGCTCAGAATGAGAGATCTTGTTTCACTGATGAGCGGCCGGGAAGCAGACATCCAGTGATGTGTGTTCCAGAGGGATGGGAATAGTGTCCTGCAAAGCACAGGGCTGCCTCCCTGCTCCAGCACAGTCTGCTCCTGTTTGTGTGGATCAGAGGTTGCTGTGAGGTCTCCTCTTTCACGGTTGAGAGCTCAAAGCCGTGTCCTACAGGTGGAGCTCTCAGACCTTCAAACTCAGCACCAGCCTCGTCCAAGGGCTCGGGAACAGGGAGGTGGTGGGAACTCTCGTGCTGTTCATCTGCACACAACAGTTCTGGCCTTGGAACCCTTAGCAGAGAAAAACGGGATGTTATTTTCACATCCCTTTGAGAGGGTTTTGTGGGCTGTCCCAGATGAGGGCACATGGTGCTGTTTGGGATGTGACTACATAAGAAATGGCTCTTTGAAACAAGTCCTGCTCTCTTGTCCCCAGGCAGCCCAGCCCAAGGTGACAGCAGCCCTCAGGATGCAGAGTTTGTGGCTGACCTGGCTTGGGAGTTTGCCATAAAGGAAGGATTCCGTGTGTTTGAGAGCCTCCCCCCGACAAAGCTGCTTGCACGACATTCCAGCACCTGGGCCGGGCGAGGGCCATTTCCCAGCAGGAGTTACAGCACCTGGCCACGTCCTGTGCCCAAGGTTCCCTTGGTCATTCCTCCCATCAGCCCCTTGGGGATGGCCCAGGATCTTCACTGCAAGCTGGAAAATACAGTGGGGCTTTCTGAGTTCCCAGCCCAATGGACTCCACGTGCTCTGCCAGAACTGCAGGTGAGATCTTCCCCCCTGGAGCTGCTCTGCTGCACCTGCCCCAGGGTGGGGGTCGTGGCCTCTGCCCTTGCTCTCCTGATCACATCAGACATTTGGCACTCACAGAATCCAGTGGCTTGGAGGAAAGGGATTGGGTTCCCATGGCTGTAACAGAGTTCATATCCTGGTAAACAGTGATTTCATAAGCTGGAACACCCTTCCAAGGGGAGCAGATTAATGCCAGCCCAGCTGTAATTACTGGTGCTGCTCCACCAAGTCCCGCCATCAGTGCTGATGGTGTGTCCAGAGCTTGGCTGGGCTTGGGCTTTCCAACCTACCAATCCAGGGAGGAGATGGCTGCTTGTTCCCTGTCCCTGATCAGGGAGGCCTCGCTGCTGACTCTCTATGGGAAAGAGTGAGCTAATTCCCTTCATAGTGTCCCTCTGGTGCTTCCTTGAGAGGTCCCTCAGAAGGTCAGGGAGCTGCTTGTACCTCCACAGCTCTCATTCAGTGTGAATGAAAGCAAACATCCCCACCCTTGGGCTGCCACTGAGATTATACTCTCAACTATTCTAGTGGCTTTATCAAATTCTAATGGGTTATTTAACTACCTTTTAGCTGCCAAAAACATATCCCATCTGTTGTTCTGCCCTTCCAAAGCATTTCCTTGTGCTCTGGCAGAAACCAGCAAACCCCAGTGTTTCAGAGTGCTTAGCAGCTGATCTGCTGGGAAGGTGGGAAGGGCAGGGAAGCAGCAGTTGTGGGGAATTTGGGAGTGCTGGGATGAGCAGATCTCCTCACCTTTCTTATAAATACTCATTTTTGCCAAACATCAGAACAGTCACACTCTCTCTACTCCATGCCTGGGGCTTGTGGAGACACTGCTGCCTGTGTGTGGGACCACGGAGTCCCCTCATCCCTGCCATCTCCCCATCCATCCCACTGCTCTTTCCCTTGGCATCGTCCCTGCACTGCCAACCTTTGCTGTGGAAGAGTGTTGTGAAAGCCAGGGGAGGAGTCTTGCTGCCTGCAGCAGAAAGATAATGCAGAGAAGGGTTAAACAGCCAAATATTCCTGGCCTGGAATTGCCACAGTGCTCCTGGGCTGGGCAAGGGCCAAGGGCACGGACAAGGCTGCTGTGTGCCAGCTGGCACTGCTGGGATGAGTTTATTCCTGGGAGCTTGGCAGCCCTTGGCTGAGGCACTCCTGGCTGAACAGGGCAGGATCTCAGCTGATCCTGCCCTATCCCACACCAGGAGCCAGCAGACTTTGCCTGCTGGTCCCAAAGGTTGCCCGTCCCCACAGTTCTCCGGGGAGATCCTGCCCAGAGGAGTTCAGTTTCTCCCTCAGACTGGCTATCAGAGGGGCATCAGGGTCATCAGACACATTATTAATGTGTCTTAATAATAATAATAATAATAATAATAATAATAATAATAATAATACTCTTCCCCCAGGCAGAGCGTGCCAGGACCAAAGCAGAGGCTCTAGTGGCTGTACAGGCCATGGATCAGGGCAGCCAGGTGAGCAGATACCTAATGCTTGAGCCTTCCCTGACTCAAAAAAACAAAACAGGGACCCCCCCCTCCCTCCTAGGGCCTCCTCCATCCCACTGCAGCATGGGGCCTGTGAGCATGAGGGGTGATTTGTCCTGTGGGGCTCCCAGGAGGATGTTTCCCCAGCACTGTGTTCCCAGGGCACTCCCTGCCATCCTGCCCTGGTCCTGCAGCCCTTTCTGTGCCCAGCTGGGCTCTGATCTCACTCTCCCACAGGTCTCTGGAGCAGAACATCTCCCCAGTGCAGATCCCAGCCTGGTGCTTCCCTTGGACCTGAGCTCCACGTCTGGCTGAGGGTCCCATGAGGGTCCCAGTCCTTTGGAGACTCGGATGGAAAACTAAACCATCCACTGTGGCACAGGAGAGGCCCTTGTGCTAAGGGCAGCCTGTGAGCTTCCTAATTCCAGTGCTGTTTGTTGTTATCTGTGCTCAGTGCCTTTATTGCCCAGCTCAATATGGGGCAAAATCCATCCTTGGACCATGAGGCTGCAGAGAGTCAGTCCTGCAGCAGGGAGAGTTGGTCAGGAATGACCTCAAGGACTCTGGATTCAAGGGAGACTCTGGAGCTGAGACAGTGCCTGGCCCCTGGAATTTGGAGGACTCTGTTGTCCCGTGACTGCAGTGGGTCTCTCTGGGTCTCTTCGGGGATCATAGAGGATGCAGTCTGGATCAAGGGGGGATTTCAGTACTTCAGGGAGGCCAGAGCAAGGGGAGAACTGTGGGAACAATCGTGGTAATTCCAGGTTCTTTATGTGTGGTATTAGTTCAATATTAAAGTGATGGGCACAGTTCTTTGGATTCTCCAGCTCCTCCAGCGTGGGCACAGCCTCACAGCCCGCTTTCACAAGGCCACATCCACCTGCCATAGGTGGGCACCACATCCCTGCTCTCAGGGACACAAAGGGCACTTCCAGGAGCCCTGGGGTGGCCATGCTGGCTGCCCAACACCAGGACTGTGGAGTGTAGGGAAGCTGGTAACCTGAGCTTTGGAGTCTCCCAGGCTCTGGGGTGAAATTCCACCTCAACCTCAGGCACTTGGCTCTGCTGTGGAAGAAGGAGGGAGCCTCTATCTGAGCCTGGATCTGCCCAGCCAAGCAGGCACTTGGCTTCTGCACCTCCCACCTTCTCATCTTTCAGGCTCAATCGCAGCCCCTGCAGGGCTCAGAGCTGGGTCTGCCATCGAGGTGGGTTAGTGCTGCTGGGTCTGTCTGCCAAGCCCCAGGGAAGGAAAGGGGCTCAAGAGGAGCATTAACACAGGGCTAGTGTTCGATGTCATCCATTTTCCACCATGGGATCAGCAGGACACACATGGGGGCTTAGCCCTGAGCTGAAGCTCAGCTCTGTGACGTGCCCTGTGGATACACAGCCTGACCTGCTCCCTCTGGGAGACACAGGCACATCTCTGCAGGTAAAACAGGTCTGTCTGGTGTCTCCCACAGTGGTTTAACACATGCAGGTCTGTAACAGCATGGAGAGCGTGTTGGAACAAGTGGTCCTTGCAAGTGCCATCTCCTAAAGGGCTGCCCATGACCTGGTGTCTGGAGCGGTGAAGGCAATCGGTCACCCTTCAGGGGATACAGGGGGACAGGGATGAGAGAGGAGATCCTGTCCAAGAGGATTTCTTTTCAGCTGATCCAGGATACACACAGCCTAATCTGAGTCCTGCTGGATAACCTTGGGCAGGCATTTTGCCTGGGCTCTGGGCTCTGTGGTTCCTCCCTGCACAGCAGGGCTGAGATTCCCCTCCTGAGGGAAATGCCTGGAGAGCTGCAGATGCAGGAACCTCCAGCAAGACTTTCAGCACCCTGGGTCTTCCAGGACACTGGGGGAAACTATATCTGAACTGACACATCCTGCAATTTTTGTGGCGCCTTTTATAAACCAGAGCCATCCCTGTGACCTTTCAGAGACCCCTCACTGAAGAAGCCAAAAAAGTGCAGTCAGACACAGGGTAATACCACAGGTTTCTTTGGGAGATTAAAAACTCTTGATGCTTTTGGTCTGTGGCTTCCTTAGTGATGGTGATGATAACTATGAGCACACACCTGTTCCCTGCAGGTGAACCTGCACTTGGGAGCCTGAAGTTGCACAAGGCATCTTAAGCAAACAAGAAAAAAAGGCCTTGAGCCATTGTTGGGAGTGATTTTACAAAGCCTCTCCTTTGTATGCACTGAGTAATGTCCCTGTTGTGAAAGCACTTGAGTGTTTTTGTCCCACTGCCAGACACACAGGAGCTTCTCTTTTGGATTCCCTTGTGCGTGGTAGTGGCGGCACAGGATGGTCCAGGTCCCCAACTTTTCCCTCATCACATCACTTTCCCACAAAAGTAACCAGCACAAGGGAGATGTTTTTGGTTTTTTTCTCTGCCTTTTTCCTAATTGTTTCCTGCACTAAGTTCCCTGGGCAGGGACAGGGGCAGGGACATGGGCAGTGTGGCATTAGCTGGACGCTAATGAGGCATCCCCGGTGCACCAAACCAAGCCTCATTTGAACCGAACTGAGCTGGGCTGAACTGACCCGAACGGTGCTGAGCCCAGCTGAGCCCAGCTGAGTCCTGCTGAGCCACGCTAAGCTGATCCAAACGGGACCGTGCTGAGCCGAGCTGAGCCAAACTGCGCTGCCCGCACCGAGCTGGATCGAGACGATTCCATCCGAACCAAGTCACGCCAAGTCAGTTCTGGGCAGCACCGAGCCGAGCCGTGCAGGACCCAGCCCCGTGGGCCGAACCGTGCCGAGGTGGGCGGGGCGGGGCGGAGCGGGGCCGCCCCGAGGAGCGGGGCCCGGCCCGGCCCAGCCCAGCTCAGCTCGGCTCAGCTCAGCATGTTGCGGGCGCTGGTGCGCAGCTCCCGGCTCTGCCCGGCCCAGCTCCGGGCGCCCTTCTCGGCCGCCGCCGCCTCCCCCATCCCGGCGCCCAACCCGCGCCCCGACATCGCCTTCAACAAGGTAGGGCCGTGCTGGTCCCGGCTCAGCCGGGCTGGGCCGCCGGGTCCGGGGCTGGGACATCCCGGTGGAACGCTGGGAGCGCTGGAACCCCCGGAGATTTGGGCCCGAAACCTTGTGCTGCGGGAAAATCCCACTGGAAAAGCTCCTTGGGTGCCCTGTGGGGCTCAGAGTGTGTGTCCCGCCACCATCGGGCTCTGTCCCCATCCCCCGGTGGGCTCAGCATCGAGAAAAGGAGGAAACTCTGGGAATGGGAATGAGGAGGGGAAGGTGCCTGGCTGGGTGCTGGTTATCTGCAGAGATCAGACCCTTGTTCCAGAGCAAACGCTGTGGGATCACCTGTGCGGGGTGCTGGGGAAGGCAGCATTCCTCTCCCAAGGAATTCCACTCCTCCCCGGTGGCTGTGGCCAGGCTGGCAGTGGTTGGCCGAATGCTCGGCGAGTTCTGGGCGAGCACCACGATCTTTGCACTCGTGCTCCTGTTTTGGACCTGGAAAAACAAATTCACCCTTTGAAAGAAAGAAAGAATTGGTGAAAAGCTGTTGTTGGCACTTGGTTCTGTTTCAGAACAGTGCATGGGAGCCTAATAGAATCAGTTAATCTGGGAAATAATAGAATCATTTAAGTTGGAAAAGACCCTTAAGACTGTAAGAAATGCTGCAAAAACTCTAGTGCTCTGTACAAAATCAAATAACTGTATGTCTGTGCCTAAAGCATTTTCCCACTGCTCAGTCTCCTGAGTTTCCCAGTATCCCTGCACACCTCCAGCCAGGCTTCCAGGTCTTACAGCGTTTTCCCAAGATGGGAACTGCTTCCAATTCTCGTGCTGTTTGCTGAGCTGTGAGTTCTTTGATTAACTCGAAGCTGTGTCTTTTGTTGTGTGCTTTTAGGCTAAAATATCTCTTTCATATTGATGCAGGTTTGGAGCCCACACAAGTCAAGTTAAGCCCTTTTAATTAAAGCCTCCTCAGCTGCCATCAAAGCAAGCTCCCCCAGACTTCACTGGGCTCTGGCTCGAAGCTTCAGCTCTTCTTGGCTTTTCCTTTGCAGATTTTCATAAATAACGAATGGCACGATGCTGTCAGCAAGAAAACCTTCCCCACCGTCAACCCAGCCACAGGGGAAGTCATCTGCCAGGTGGCTGAGGGCGATAAGGTGAGTGTGGTTTGGGTGAAATGGGTTTGTTTTCTGTGTGAGCAGGTCCAGAGGGGCTGCAGAGGAAGGTACCACCTCCCCTCTCACCTGGGCAGCTCCACAAGGGCTCTGTATGCAAATACCTCATCAAGTGCTGCTTGTGTTCTTCCTTGACTGCCACTCTCAACAGAACCTGGATTTGCCCTTCCCAGCACCAAGCTGGGACTGGGAAGGGCAGAGAGGAACAGATGTGGTGTGCAGCGGAGCCAGAGTTGGGAGGTTTGGGAGCAGTCCTGGGCAGAGGTTGCTGGGATGGGCAGGGATGAAGGCAGACACCTCTGTGGTCCTGTGGGTGCTGTGCTGGCAGCGTGACACAGAGTCACGGTGAGAGAGGACATAGAAGGTCAGGATTCCCCTCACAGACCCTTTCTGCTGCAGTGGGAGACCAATCCCAGCCCTATGAAATTAAAAAATTAAAAAAAAGAACTTGCGGGGAATAGTCATATAATCATCCCCTGCCTTATGCAAGGCCCTGCTAAGTGTTTGTGGCAGAGCTGAGATGGTGTTTCCCAGCAATTTTGGGTTCTTCCTACAGTCTGGAAACTTGTTTGAGTTCCCCAAGGGAGGGGTGAGTGAGGGAAACCCTTTGTTGTTTGTTCTCCGTGGCAGCCTGGCTTGTCCTGGCGAGACCATTCCAGCAAGCCAGGACAGAGAACCAACCAGAAACCAATTAGTGCCTGACAGGACAAAATGATGGATCAGAGATCTCTGATCAAGGAAAAACTCCTCTAGTCTGAATCCTGAAGAGTATCAAAAGCACACTTCCAGAGCTTTTTCTATGCCTGGTTCTATGATGCAAATATTAACCCAGCAGGTGACACTGCAGAAATAACTTGATGATGTTTGCACTCGCTGTAGTTGAACTAATAGGCTGAGTGAGGGTGGAGGTGGTGGCTGCACAGCTGTTGCACCCTCTGCTGCACTACCAATCCAGTTCCCTCTTCCCATGGATACAGACTGGCTGGGAAAGCTGTGTGGGCTCCAGTGCAGTGTTTGTGCTGAGGCTGTGCTGCTGCAGTGCTGCCTGGGCTGGTGGTCACAGGACAAACCCAGGGGCTGTGGCCCACGTGCTGATGGTGTCTGGCAGTGGGGCAGCTGCCAAAGCTGCAGGTTCTTGTCCCCAAAAAGCCTGGCACAAGCAGCCACTCTGGCTAGGGGTTGTTTTCTCCTGGAGAGTGGACTTTGAGAGAGAGAGAGAGAGAGAGTGTGGGCTGGTTATTCCTTTCTCACCCTCTTCCTGGCCTCCTCCGCAGGCAGATGTGGACAAGGCGGTGAAGGCAGCCAAGGCAGCGTTCCAGCTGGGCTCTCCCTGGAGGAGGATGGATGCTTCCCAGCGGGGGAAGCTGCTGCA